TGGTACGAGTTGTTCATCATGGCGATGAGCATGTTCAGCAGCACAACCAGGGAGATGATATTGTAGGTGCCGAACATGGTGGTTCCTACAAACTCGGTAAATTCGTGGTCCGGCTTCACTCGTGTCACGTAGAGGGAAATTAGGCCAAACACAGACCAGAATAATGACTGCAGCGTTTCGAATAACCTGAAAAACAAAGGCGCCATACATCAGGTTCGCCGCACCGCCAAACAAAGCTATTCGTCATCGGCAATGGTTTTGTGTAGAACGTACGTCGAGAAGGCGTTGTTTTGCTGCATGCAACGGATGCCCTTGCAGTTGCTGCCCACGTCGGTACCGTAGTAATAGTAGAGCTGGTTGAGGCCGTTGGCAAAGGCCAGCAGCACCAGGCAGTAGATGAAGAGGAACTTGAGGATGTCGAGCAACATGCGGCCCAGCGAGATCTGCAGCGGGCCCAGGTGGGAATTGGCGGTGAAAAGGCAGATGAGGCGCAGGGAACTGAAGATGTTGGCGATAGCAAACAACGCCTCGGCGATCAGAGTCGGGTGCCACATTTCCCAGCTGCATCGGGGTTTGTTCCCGCTGTACTGCAAAATAAATATGCGTCGGATTGTCAATGAGCAGCCCGGCTCCCTCGTACTGTTCACTTGGTCAGTTCATTCAGCTCAAGTCCTTCTCATCCCTCCCCTGCCCACTGATTTCAGGTGTGCCGCAGAGCTCTTTCCCGGGGCCCCTGCTTTTCGTCATCTACCTCCTCCCACTTGGCGCTGTTTTCCGTCAATTTAATATTTTCTTCCATTGCTTTGCGGATGACACCCAGGTCAACCTTTCCTGTAAACCCAATGTCTCGTCTCCACCCTCTTGCCAACCTCCTGCTTAATAGACATGAACATCCGCTTCGCATCGAATTTTATGAAAATGAGCGGCGACAAAATTGACAGTTTCATCAGTGACCATGCACCGCGGTTCTGTACTCGTCTGTATCGTACCTTTGCATAGGCAACGATCTTGAGGGAAATTGTTGCCAGATACAATGCATTCATGATGAAGTCCATGATGTTCCACCAGTCATCCATGTAATCTTGGAACCCGCTGTCCCACATCTGCTTGATCTCTGTCCAGATGAAACCTTGAACACACAAGCAAACGGCGGGATCATGATGGTAGCACCAGCAGGAGGGCCAATTGTAGGGGAACCGATATTCTTTACCGATTACCCAGGGGAGGATCATCCATTCCACCACGGTCGGGGCCGGGCCCTGAAAGTCACGCTGCGGGGCTTCAATGTGCTGCGATGCCAAGAAGAGCAGGAACAGGAATGTCAGGTAGGAAGCGGCGTGACAGATAAACTTGATGAAGGGCTTGCGGATGAATAAGCCGTAACGGCTTTTCGGTGAGACCAAGTAAAGGATGGACAAGACGGGGAAGAGCATCCGTATGAGGATACCCCTGATGAATTTCACTGCCCAGTGACGCCTTCTCCAACCTGGGATCTCATCATACCACCGGGAGGCCAGCAGCTGCTGACAGTTGGGCTGGGCAACAAAC